CGGGGTCGCGGTCGCGGGGTCGCGGTTTGGGGAGTAGGATGATTCCCTGTTAGGAGAGAGCCCCAGCCCTCACTACTGCTTCCCCGAGCAACAGATTTCAGGACCAACCCTGGCCAGCCGCTGAGTTTACGTCCTGGTTTAGTTATTAACCTATTGTGTCCTCTTGGGCAACTTCTGTACATATGCTTTAAGCCTTTACTTCACACTATGGCGGAGGCTTTGAATAGCAGTGTTTTATTGCTTAAATAACAGAATATTAAATAAGCAATAACAGTGGCTAGATCTACAAGTAGGGTGGAGGTAAAGAGGAGCTTACCTTCTATTTACCTTGAGTTATAAACTTGAGTTAACTCAGGATGGGGAGGTAAATGTTTTCAAATTTTAAAAATGTATTTTTATTGATTTCAGAGGAGACGGGAGAGGGGGAGAGAGATAGAAAGATCAATGATGAGAATCATCGATAGGCTACCTCCTGCACACCCCCTAGGGGGGATCAAGCCCACAACCCGGGCAGGTGCTCTTCACCGGAATACATCTGGGGACCCTTCAGTCCGCAGGCTGACGCTCTGTCCACTGAGCTAAACCTGCTACTAAAGCAGAGTGGTACCATCCTCAGATACAAATAAGTCGGGGAAAAAAGCAGGTTTTGAAAGAAGTGAGTTTGGGAGATGAGGAATGAGGAGAGCAATTAAGAAACAATTGTAGAATTTAGAAATAAAGTCTGGCTCTTCTGAGTATTAGAGGACGCAACGTGAAAAGGAGAGGATAGGAGTACAGGATAGGAGAAAATATTGCAAATCAAGATAATAGTTAATATCCAGAATATATAATGTACTACAACTCAACAAGAAAGCAAACAACCGGCCTTAAAAACGTGGAAATGCACCTTGGCCAGTGTTTCTCTGTGGTTACTGCATCAACCTGCGCAGGGAAGGGTTGCAAGTTTGATTCCCGGTCAAGGGCATGTACCTGGGTTGCAGGTTCCATTCCCCATCCCAGTCAGGTGCGTTGGGGAGGTTGGGGCAGGGGGGAGGGGGGACCAATCCTTGTGTCTCTCCCACATTGATGTTTCTCTCACCCCTCCCCCTCCACTCTCACTAAAAGAAAAATCAATTGGAAAAATATCCTCAGGTAAGGATTAACAAAAAACAAGGGGGAAGGAAAGACTTGAATAGACATCTCTCCAAAGATCATATACTAGTAAGTGCCCACCAAGCACATGAAAAGATGCTCAGCATCACTAGCAATTGGGGAAAATGAATCAAAACCATGAGATATCACCTCATACTCACTAGAATGGTGACTATAAAAAAGAGAAAAAGAAAAGTGTTGATGAGGATGTTGAGAAAATGGAAACCTTATACAGTTCATGGGGAAGTAAAATGGTGTAACTGCTATGGAAAATTAAAAATGAAATTGCCATATGATCCAGCAATTCTAGTTCTGGGTATATACCCAAAGGAATTAAAAACAGGACCTTCAAGAGATATTTGCATTTCTTTGTTCATAGAAGCATTATTCAAAATCGCCAAAAAAGTGAAAGCAACCCAATCAACAGATGAATAGATGAATAAAATATACATACAAACAAATATTATTCTGGTACATACCACAATTGTGAGACATTGTGCTAAATGAGTAAATCGGTCACAAAAATGACAAAGATTATATGATTCAACTTGTATGAGGTACACAGAGTAAAATTCAGAGACAGAAAGTAGAATGGTGGTTGCAGGGAGTGGGGGGGGATGGAAATAGGGAGTTGTTAAATGGTTATAGAGATCCAGGTTTGCAAGATGAAAAGAGTTCTGGAGATTGAACAATACAGTTACTGTACTTAATGCTACTAACCTTTACACTTTAAAATGGTTACGATATTTTCATTATGTAAATTTTACCACACTTTTTAAAAAAGTATCCTTGCCCTAACTGGTTTTGCTCAGTAGTTAGAGCTTCAGGCATGGACTAAAGGGTCTCGGGTTTGAGGTCAACACATGTACCTGGGCTGCAGGCTCAGTCCCCAGCCCCAGTCGGGGCACATGCAATTAGCAGCCAATCGATGTCTCTCTCTCTCACCTTGATGTTTCTCTCAGCCACTCTCTTTTCTTTCTCTCTCTCTCTCTCTCAAAAAAGTACCTTTTATGGCCTTGGAGTGATGGTGAGAATGGATGGGAGAGGTGGGAGAAAAAATTACTAATATTAAGAAAGTGGAGTCAGGTTATTTTGAGACTTAGAGCCTCTTTTTCACAGAGGTTGATGAGACAGGAAGAGGATTAGGGGAGATGATTAGCTTAGTTTTTGAAATGTCAATTTTGGAGTGCCTATTTTGTCATTCAGTAAAATTCAATATATTTAACAGTAAAATGTAATTCTCAGAGAATAATTTGTTAGTTTATGATGCTTTCCCCCCAAAAAATAGCACATCATGCCTTCTTTTTTGCTCGACCTATTCCAGACTGAATGGAGGAATTAAAGGAGTGAATCTTCACCCACTGGTTTCCTTTGGCTAGTTCTTGCTTTTGACCCCAGTACAAGAAGGAATCATCTAGAAGGAGTACAACTGATTTTATTACACATTACAAAATTAAGTTCCAGAGTCCTGTAACTGGGAAAATCTTGACAGAAAACTTCATGCTTTAGAGCAGGAGAAAAAGTTGCTGTCTTTTTATTAGAATCTAACACTAGATAGAAAAGTTTCTTCTCCAAAAATTATGAGGATTAAACTAACTGATGTAAGTAAATTACTTAGTTACAGCACAAACAGTGTTAGCTGCTATTATTATTTAGGTAAACACAAATGAACTACAGGTATATGTAATCCACAGAATTCTCTATGAATGTATAAATTAGAATCATTCTCAATGCAAACACATCTTTTCCATTTTGATTATGCAAGTAGAGCTCCAGTGGTTAGGTTCAGACAAGTATAAATAGGAGTGACAAAAGCAAAAAGAATATCGTAAAAACTGCTTTTAGAAAATGATGCTCTACATTGCGTCGCTGGACGAGGAAAATTTTGTCATCCTTTTTACCTGGGAACTGATGAGTCTAGGAATCTTTCTCTCCTGAGTCTTGGTACCCAGCCGGAACTGAATCAGTGAACGCACCAGGCTGCCGCACACGCTGGCGGCGGGCTTGGGGGTCAAATGGCCCCAATACACACGAGAGATCCAACCCGGAAGTTCCAACCCGGAAGTAGTTCCTGGTTGTCTCCAGGCGCCGGTTCCTGGGCGTCGTGGAGCCAAGGCGCGAGGCTCGGACCGGGAGGTGGAACTGGAACGT